CGCGGGCCCGTGCCCGGCCCCGCCGCCCCCCCCGCCCCCCGCCCGCCCCCCGCCCCGCCGCGGCCCCGCAGGCCGCGGGCGCGGCCCCACGCCGCGTGTGCCGCATGGCGCGGCCGCCCGGGGCGCGGTCGGCGGCGCACCCGGCCCCCCCCCGCCCCGCTCCCAGCGACCCCCGAGTACCCACCGGGAGGCGACTGCCCGTTCACGGCCGGCGCGTTCTTCGTCCAGGGGTTCACCTTGGGCGGCGGGGCCTCGATGAACTCCCGGCGCCCCGCGCCGCCCGCCTCGCCGCCGTCCTCCGCCTCGCCGCCGGCCCTCAGCAGGCTCTCCTTCTCCTGGTTGTTGCTCTCCTCCTTCTGCTGCTTGGCGCTCGGCGGCCTCGGCGCCGCCGGCCCGCCGTCGGGGCCCATGGGCGGCTCGCCCTTCTCCCGGCCGCCGTCCTGCGGCGGCTTCAGCACCAGGGCGCGCTCCTCGGCGGGCAGCAGCGGGGCCGTGCCGGGCAGCAGCGCCTCCACCTGCGTCGCCATCTGCGCGCCCCCGAGCCCCGCCGGGAACCCCCCGACCCCGGTGCCGCCGCAATATGGAGCCGCGCGGGGACCACGCGACTGCCGCGGGGGCGCGCACCGCCCGCCCGTGCGCGCCGCCGGCGAGGGGAGGGGCGGTGTGGGGCGCGCCCCCGCGGGGCGGTCGGCGGCGCGCATTGGCCTGATGCAACGCCCGGCTGAGCTGGGGGGGGCGCGGACCGAGGGGTTTAAAGGGCACCGGCCCCTTCCCCGACATCCCGGCCTCGCTGCCCGTCTGGAAGAGGCCGGGTTCGGGCCAGGGGAGCCGCTGCCGGCTCGGGGACTCCGGGGACGAACGCACCGGTGGAGCTCCGGAGTCCCCGAGCCGGCTTCGACAAAGTCTCCCCGGCCGGCATCAGGCAGGAGCCGAGGGATAGGGATGTTCTCGGGTACCCACGGCCGGGGATAACGGGATAACGTGGCTGGAAAGTGAAGAAAGGGACTCGGTGTGTGTCCTGGGGAATCACGGAACCACAGAAACGGTCCGGTTGGACCGTCTGGACCCATGTCCCCGTGTAAACAGAGCACATGGCACAGGATTGCATCCAGGCGGTTCTCAAATATCTGCAGTAAGGGAGACCCCGCAGCCTCTCTCCTCTCTGTTCCAGTGTGGGTCACTGCACAGTAAAAGTTCTTCCTTATGTTCAGGTGGAACTTCCTGTGCATACATTTTTTGCCATTGCCTGTGTCCTATTGCTCAACACCACCGAGTAGAACCCCGCTCCATCTTCTTGGCACCCCCTCCCCTTTAGATATTTATACACATTGATGAGGGAGAGACCACCTCTCATCTCCTGTGCCCAGCAAAACCTTTGTTTGAGTAGAAATATTTAATTGATCTCTAGCTGATAGAATGTCACTTGCTCATCACCATTATTAATATTCCTGGTATTTGTCCTCAATTCTTGCAGCCAGCAAGACAGTGACTGCAGACCATGTGTGGATATGCACATGAATTATACACATTGGAAAGGCAACTTGCATTGCTGATACCATTTAGCACAATCTGCCTAATTCACAGCAGCCCTTACTTGATGCCTTTTTTTTCAATGCAAGCTTCTCCCTGCCTCTTCCCTCATCACAGCAAGCACACCACTCTGATTCTGCCCAGAAAGGTTCATCTGGAAGTCCCAGCATGTTCTGCAGCCCCAGGGACACATCTATGCAATCCCTGCAGGAGACCCGTCAGCATGACAAGGCACTGAAGATGTAGCTGCCAGCTGCTGATGCGTGGAGAAGGATGAAAAGCTGATTTCACTCTTGGAAGGAAAGAAGAAAGTGAGAAACAAACATGAGCTCAGCACAACATTTGGAAGGGCAACAGCATCAGGGCTCGAGTGGATCCACAGAGGGAGTCCCAGGCTGCCAGGGATGCTCCACTGAGACCATCTCAGCTCTCTGTGTGCCCTGGTACCCAACCTCTTGGCTCAGAGAGTACCTTCCTGTGCCATAGCCTCAGGGATCACCAGCAGTTATCCCAAATCATTCAAGAATTTGGCCAGTAAAATCCCAAGAGGAAGTTTAAATATAACTTCAGTGAAGAGGTCTGCTGGCCTGGCTGCCTGGCTGGCTCAGTATCCGACCTGCAGTAGCCCCAGCCACATCCTGTGCTCCTGTGCCCATTTCCTGGTGTGTTGAGGGTCCCTGCCCTCCTCATGAGCATGGCTTGGGAGCTGCACCCACCTACACCCTCTCTAGGAGCAGGTCCTTGCGTGGGGAGCACAGCTGGGTGTGGAAGGTGGCTGCAGCCAGGGGACCTGCAGGCCAGTGGTATCCCTCACCTGTCCCCCAGCCAGGGTGCAGCGTTCCAGCTCGGTCCTTTGGGATGCTGCTCTGCTGCCACGTGAGCGAGAGCGAGCCCAAGGTGGCCAAGAGCCAAAGTGGCTCCAGAGCTGGCAGGCAGGAGGGAGCTGGGTGAGTCTCACCCTCATGTGCTGCCCAGCCAGGCCAAACCCTGGCAGGTTTTCAGTGTTAGAAAATAAATGCATGAGCGAGGGGGGAGAGAAGGAAGTGTCCTCGCAAGCTTCTTGCATCAGCCGTAAGGAACATCACCTTGGCAGGTCAGCTCTCAAAGCCATCCTTCATGGGAAGGGAAGCTGGGTGTGCACCACCTCCAGCTGGTGTAAACACGCTGGCCATGTCCAGTGTCCGTGTGCCCCTCTCCTCCTTTGGTGTCCTCACCTCTGCTGGACCCATCTTCCCCTGCTCTGCCCAGCATCCACAGCACTTGGATATTCTGCTCCTCCCTCCAGGGGCTTGCTGAGAAGCAGCCAAGGAGTCGCTGGGAAGTAATCCTTCTCTACTTTCCCCAAATTCAATGAAAGCACCTGACCAGCATCCCCAATCCTGCTTCTCTACCTCATCCTTCATCCCAGATGTGTTCCTGTGCCTGCCCAGACCGCACCAAGCAGCTCTGGGTGCTGCCTCCCAGCCCTGTGCTGGCCCTGCGCAGACTCTAAGGAAGCAGTCTCCAGGGAAACTCCTCGCTGAGCAGTGATTTGGGCAGGAGCTCCCCACCTCCCTTGCTCCGTGTACAACAGCTTATTTATTTCTCCCCGACTGAAGCGTGGCTTGCATATTTATCACAGACAGCCGGCTGCTTTGGTGCTGGCCTGGAGGTTTAAAGATGCTTTGATGGTGGCCGTTAATGTCTCTGAGCATCTCTAGGTCTTGCCTGGCTGGAATATCCCCAGCTTCTTTTCTGCTGGTCTGGCAAGCTCACCTAGGCACCCAGCCTTCCCTTTGGGAACAGCTTTAGTTCAGTGGCCTGGAGCAAGGCCTGTGCATGGCAAGGAGCACAAAGCATTCAATGTGACTGATATGCTCCTTAACTTCACCGTCCTTTTTGGCTGGTAGCTCTGCCCCTTTCTCAGGTTCCACTTGCCTAATTTTGTCCAGCACTGTGGCCACGAGGTCACCGTTAAAAGTGTTTCCTACAGTTTCACCTTTGCTCTAGTCTGGTCCCGAATGCCAATCAGCAGCACACTCCTCATCACATCTCCTTTCCCTGCATCCATGGGCTGTGCAGACTTTGCAGTCAGCTCAGATTTGAACTGTGCTTCCCAAGGGAATTTTCTCTCCCCAGCACCTCCAGACCAGTTTGCTTGCTGCCAATGCTGGTCACGCTGTTCCCTGGTGAGATGCCCAAGCTTTACACGTGGATGGCAGAATATTAAGGCTCAGGCATCTTTAACTCTGTGCGACAGAGAAAGAGGATTTTTCCGAGGAAAGTCCAAGCTTCCTATCCTGAGTCATATGCTTTGACTTATTTATGTGGTTGTTATTGCTCCATGAACCCTGCCAGGCAGAAACATTGTCAGGGACAATGCACACAGGGCTGGGCTGACTTTCCTGCAGCAGCCCTGCAGTGTTGCCCTCCAGCAAACCCAACTGCCCAACTGAGGGGTGTCAAAGTCCTACTCTCAATGGACTTGCAAATGCAGCCTGACCATCCAACTGCTGGTGCCCACAGGGAAAAGCTTTTCAAAGGACACATGCCATGACACATGCCCAGAGCTCGTTCCTAGACAAGAAAGATCTTCACTTTGAGAAGAGGGTAGTATGCTGGTTCAGAACCATTCTCGGGACTCTGGGCAAACAGTTACAACCCTGAGACTGAAATGACACACTGAGAGCTCCCAGACAGTCCCATAGGCTTTTTCTATCTGCAGCCATGTGATCCAGAGAGATGGAAGACACTCCCTGGCTCTGAGATGAATTCACTTGGACCCTTCCAGCAAAGCATATGAAGGATCAGCGTGAAGAGTGAGCGCATTCCCACCAATAAGTAATTTTCAACCTGCGTAATAAAACAGCGGTCACTAACGAGTTCCATTACATCCCCATTAAAAAGTACTTTCACTTAGCAGGACCCCACAGCCCAGGGGCTGGGGCTCAGCAGTTTGATGCTGCAGCCCAGCCAAAGGCACTGTGCTCTCCAGGCACTCGTGCCATGAGTGGGGTAGGAACCAGCTCCCGAAGCTGCCGGCCCCTCTCTGCTTCCACCCATCCTCTGCACGCTGGAAAGTGGCACTGCAGATGTGCTCGTGTTGGAGAATGCACCCCATGGATTTTCCTGGTGCTTAGGAAGTTAGATTGAAATGTGAGCAAATAGCCTGTAATTAAAATCTGAAGCCTGCTATGCAGCTTTTGCGTGTTTTTAATAAGTGGATTGGAGGGGGGGATATCTAATGATACATAACTGCTTTTATCATCACTTTTCCCTCCAAAACCCACAGTTCTTGTAGGACTCCCCCAAAGCCAGTAAAAAATCTTGATTGCTTGAGAAAAATTCCCCTGTTCCCAAGTTATTGAGGACATGGGCTTTGGAAAGCAATACCTCCTCTAAAACACGATTTCTCACTTTGTATATTTTGCTGGAGATATATTAGCCCAAGGTTTCTTATGTCCCCTAAACCACTTCCATTTCCAGGAGCTCATGAAAACATGACATAAGTTGACCACTGAACCTGATATTTTCTCTGAAGGATATTTACCCTCCATGCCAACCCTCCACCATCAGGAATTTCAGCAGAAATATTTCAGACACTTCTACAAAGATAAATGAGATATAAGAGCTCTACTATCCTTCTTCAAGCTGCCTTAAGCACCACATGCTTCAGATGAGATGTCCTGCATCCTTCTCAGGTCCCAACCGCCCACAGCAGTGCCAGAGGTCCCTGACTCAGCCCACCCAAGGATGTGCCATTCCTGTGGAGAAACAAAGCATGCTGGCAGTGTGCTGTGATTCCCAGGAATTTGTGTTCCCCTGCCATCAACTCCTTGCACCAGCACTGGCCAGGGTCATACATCTTTCTGCCTTGTGCCTGATGTGCAGGGAGGCACCAGCCAGCGGCTGCTCCGCAGAGCTCAATTAATTCAAGCAGTGGCAGCTTGTGCAGGTGCCCTAAAAGCTCCCAAAGACTCAAGGTGAGAATCAATAAGATTGATGGGTGGAATTGCTGGGATATTTTCCTCTAAGCACCTAAGGATAATTAACAGCCAAAATGCTTGGAGTCAACCACCAAAGTTATGAAATACTAAATCAGAGGCAGCTCCCAGCAGCTTCGCTCGCTCCCTTTGCAGGCTGTACATTCATGATGAAGCCATCAGCCACACACGGCTGCAAATTCTCTCTT